AAAATTATGCACCATTTATCATCTGTAATACCCTTGTGTAACCATTAGATGGCTGTATAGCCCTATATATCCACGACAGTGTATACCCTAGTTACTGGAAACAATTTTAACAAAATAACAAAAACATTTAACAAAAACCCACCAATTCACTATCTCAACAAATTAGAATACTTCATAAGACCAATAAAATAAAACATTTTTAGTGAATTGTTGGCCTTCTGGAAAGTATGTTCATTTACTGTACATGTACTCAATACTTGTTAGGGGCTCCTTTTTTAGTGAGATGCACCTGTATTTGCATGTATTAGGATTTGCCCGAAATATTCATCTGAAGTGACCATTTTTGCATTATTATTACAGTCAAACCTGGACACAGAAAAAGCATGGTAAACAGGCTTTACATTGCTAAAGTTGTCAGTGCAGTGATTGACAGCGCGCTTGTAAAATGGCATCGGTCATTGTCAGATACAGTACATTTAGTACTGTACATTATGTGCTGGGGGAAAATATGAACTAATCGAAGCAAATATGATCTAATTGAAGACTGTAACTGTATGTAGATAACCAGGTCCTGTAATGATTGGGTTAAATCAAGAAAACTTATGCAAGTATCCTGATAACAAGGATGATTGATAATAATGATGATTAAATCATTCGTCTGTGCTATTCCTAAGAAATCATCTCAACAACGTAGTGTAGCAGCAGATAAATACTGATAAAATAATTTTAAAAAAATCTTTATATATCTTTTTATAGCATTAAAATGAAATTGGATGCTGCTAACAGATGCTCACATCCACACTGGCAAGGCAACACTGTCACTGACTCATTCACTTCCAGGTCAAGAAGCTGTCAATCAAAAACTCAGTAGCCAATGAGAACACACTGCTGATAGCCCCGCCCCCACGAGAGATTTGTGTCAGAAGCGTAAACAAAAACTTTAGAAGCGTAAATGAAAACTTCAGAAGCGTAAATGAAAACTTTAGAAGCGTAAATGAAAACTTCAGAAGCATAAACGAAAACTTTAGAAGCGTAAACGAAAACTTTAGAAGCGTAAACGAAAACTTTAGAAGCGTAAATGAAAACTTTAAAAGCGTAAATGAAAACTTCAGAAGCGTAAACGAAAACTTTAGAACCGTAAATGAAAACTTTAGAAGCGTAAATGAAAACTTTAGAAGCATAAACGAAAACTTTAGAAGCAGAAATGAAAACTTTAGAAGCGTAAACGAGAAGCGTAAATGAAAACTTCAGACGCATAAACGAAAACTTTAAAAGCGTAAACGAAAACTTTAGAAGCGTAAACGAAAACTTCAGAAGCGTAAACGAAAACTTTAGAAGCGTAAATGAAAACTTTAGAAGCGTAAATGAAAACTTTAGAAGCGTAAATGAAAACTTTAGAAGCGTAAATGAAAACTTTAGAAGCGTAAATGAAAACTTTAGAAGCGTAAATGAAAACTTTAGAAGCGTAAATGAAAACTTTAGAAGCGTAAATGAAAACTTTAGAAGCGTAAATGAAAACTTTAGAAGCGTAAATGAAAACTTTAGAAGCGTAAATGAAAACTTTAGAAGCGTAAATGAAAACTTTAGAAGCGTAAATGAAAACTTTAGAAGCGTAAATGAAAACTTTAGAAGCGTAAATGAAAACTTTAGAAGCGTAAATGAAAACTTTAGAAGCGTAAATGAAAACTTTAGAAGCGTAAATGAAAACTTTAGAAGCGTAAATGAAAACTTTAGAAGCGTAAATGAAAACTTTAGAAGCGTAAATGAAAACTTTAGAAGCGTAAATGAAAACTTTAGAAGCGTAAATGAAAACTTTAGAAGCGTAAATGAAAACTTTAGAAGCGTAAATGAAAACTTTAGAAGCGTAAATGAAAACTTTAGAAGCGTAAATGAAAACTTTAGAAGCGTAAATGAAAACTTTAGAAGCGTAAATGAAAACTTTAGAAGCGTAAATGAAAACTTTAGAAGCGTAAATGAAAACTTTAGAAGCGTAAATGAAAACTTTAGAAGCGTAAATGAAAACTTTAGAAGCGTAAATGAAAACTTTAGAAGCGTAAATGAAAACTTTAGAAGCGTAAATGAAAACTTTAGAAGCGTAAATGAAAACTTTAGAAGCGTAAATGAAAACTTTAGAAGCGTAAATGAAAACTTTAGAAGCGTAAATGAAAACTCTGGAAGCGCATTTGTAAGTACAGATCAGCGAATGAAAGAAGAGAAAACAGTTGCAAAACACGCAGTGTATTAAAAACGAAGTCAAAGATTTTGCCTGCATTTAATTTTTTTTTTCAGCTTCAGAGACATTTTATTCAGTTTCAATTTATATTTTCATAAGTGTCTTGAAAAATGACATTCATTTTAATGGGCACAAAGGTAATCCCATAGAAAAGCTATTGCTTTTCAATGGGGAAAAGTGATCTATTGAATTTGCAAGAGAACTTACTGAATCACATTCTTCTAAAAACTGAAATCCAGCCATACTCGAAAACAATAACCAACTTAGGAAAATAGGAATAGGAAAACGGTACGATTTGTAATTTAGTCAAATACACATTACAGGCTTGCAACCTAAAATGTACCATGCCTGTTCTGTGTTTTCACTGTATGCATTTTTCCTAAACAACAACATTAAAATGCTTCATCTCTTCCATTTCTTCATGGTAAGCAGGAGAAAAACAAATGCTGTGTGAGGCTCCTCCTTGTCACGTTGCAGATCAACGTGACTGGAGTTCCTGAGCGCGCGCCCGAGCTGAACACTCTGAACATGACAAGAGCAAAACACTGAATGTGTGTCACGCGCGGGGGTTCTGGGGGATTTGACCGAAGTTACCTTCCACATACACCTCACTGCAACGTCAAACGTAGAAAAGGTACGTTCATTTTACACATAGTGTGTTGTTAGTAGCAGTGAGTAAAAACATTCAGTGTTATTTGACATGTTCAACTTAAACATTGAATGTAGTAGTGCTGCGCGGGTCACGTGACAACGGGCAGTCCTGCCATCAAAACAAACAACGCACTGCAGATGAGTTTATTGGTGTGAGGGCTTCGCTGCTCTTATTGTGGTTGTAGTTTAGGTCGTTTAGCTTCTGTCACTGGTCAGAAAGTGTATAGTAACGTGAACTGTAGATTTAATATCCCTCATCCAGAGCTCTGCTTTTACTCGAATGGTGAGTTAATCTTTTTCGGTTGTTGTTGATATGAAACATGTCTGTATGCCTATACTTTTCACTGCAACATTACTAGGTATTAGGTAAGTACTAGGTAAAAGTAAGTTATCTATCTATCTGTCCATCTGTGTATAGAGAGGATTTGAGATTCATGTCTTGTTTTATTGGTAATGATTGTTAAACATAATTGGCATTGAGTGACAGAACAGGAGGTGTCAGTCATTCCTGATGTTTTCTATTCTCTCGTGCGCGTGTGTACTAGTGTGTACTTGTGAAGTATAGTGTGTAGTGTAGTGTGTACTTGCGAAGTATAGTGTGTAGTGTAGTGTGTACTTGCGAAGTATAGTGTGTAGTGTAGTGTGTACTTGCGAAGTATAGTGTGTAGTGTAGTGTGTACTTGTGAAGTATAGTGTGTAGTGTAGTGTGTACTTGCGAAGTATAGTGTGTAGTGTAGTGTGTACTTGCGAAGTATAGTGTGTAGTGTAGTGTGTACTTGTGAAGTATAGTGTGTAGTGTAGTGTGTACTAGTAATTTGATAGGCGTGCCGCGCCTACTTTTTCGACGTAAACAAGCCTCGTTACTACTTCAGTGGTAATGACTAATGATGGTGTGGTCGTACAGTACAAGTAAATGTACTTAAAATAACTTTTTCATGTCTCGTATGTATTTTTTATTCCTTAAAAATCTACATTAAAAGTGCAATTCATACATATAGCTTTTAATTTGATTTCTAAAATGATATTTTGTTGTATACCAAACTAAAGAAATCATGAAGGGAAAAAAACATTAATAAAAGGATTCTTTAAAATGAGTTTGAAGTAATTTGGCATAATCTTAGCATTTCTTGAACAAAAAATAAATAGGCAGTTCATTTTATTTAAAAAACTTTGTTGGATGACGTTTTAAAATGTGATATTTATTTTTAATGTTAGTTTTTATGTTATTATTACTACTAACATTTTTAAAGAAATTGTAGCTATAAAAGTTTGTTTATTTGTTTGTTTAAATATAGAGGGAATTACAATGAAAGGATTCTTTAAAAAAAAGAATTGAACTATTTTGGAACAAATCTGCCGAAGAAGTAATTTAGCAGATTTTAAGAAAAGAAAATGATTTTGAAAACTCTCCACCAAATCAGAGTCATCTAGCAAAGTCAGGTAACTTATTTCTTGATCTTTCTAAACTTTTGTTGTTTGCATAATTTGTTTTCAAGGTGTAAAAGTTTATTACCACTTGACATTTATAAAATCATTCAACTAAAATGCTATAAAATAAAAAGAAGACAGAAAAAATGAAAAGCAAAGAAACAAGAAGTTAATGAAAATTTGTATTAATAGTTTTAGTTAACAATAACAACACGATTCCTTAAATTAAATTTCAAAAAAAAATTCTCAGTTCTATTTGGAATGGTGCACAATCTTTTTTGCATGCACACATACACACTCTTGCCATTTTTCATCAGCTCAGAGTATATAATAATTTTTATTTATCATTGACTCGTACACATTGACCCCAAAAAGTAACTGGACAGTTGCGTCACACTTACAATGTCTGAATGTCTTTGCATTAGATTAAAAAATATCAAAGCTAGTAGGGCTGCACGATAAATCGAATGCGATATTTAACGCGCATTTTATCAGTAAAGCCGGTTCTGTAATCAGCGGTAAATCTCCATCACCTGCGGGCTTTCACATTGAGCAACATTAACTACGCAGAGCCGTTGTTCACTGACGAGCTGCGCAAAACCACGTTCATATTCGCGCAATTTTTTTTGCGCAGCTCGTCAGTGAACAACGGCTCTGTGTAGTTAATGCTGCTCAATGTGAAAGCCCGCAGGTGTTGGAGATTTACAGCTGATTACAGAACCGGCTTTCTGACAAGATGCGCGTTAAATATCGCATGCGATTTCTCGTGCAGCCCTAAAAGCTAGTCAGATGCTACTAGAACATGTCCGTCATTAATGTGATCCACTACTCTTGTGCTTGATCTTCCTGGACACCTGTGCGAACTTACAGAGAACTGGCTTCAAATATCTATTAAAAATCACCAATATGCCAGTCATGACAAATGCCAAGACATTCCACACATATGATTTTGTTATCTACATTAGTAAAAAATGTACTCTAATGTGCTCTAAATTGAATTATTTTAGGGCATTCCTTTCCTCTGTCCCAGGAACATGTCCTTGACACCAGATGCATGTTATTTTGGGCTGCTGGAAGGGCAGGAGGAGGACATTAAGCCTCAGGCAGCAGTGGTTCGGCGGAACCTGTTTGGCCCAGTGGACCACCAGCAGTTGCAGCAGGACTTCCAGAGGCTATTCTGCATGAATGTTGAGATCGCCAAACAGCGCTGGAACTTTGACTTTCAGAGGGACCAGCCAGTCCCCGGCTGCATTGAGTGGGAGGAGCTGCAGTGCCAGGATGTGCCAGTGTTCTACCATAGCTGTGTGGTCAGGCCCGGTATGGCAAAGCAAACAACAGTAGAAGCTTGTTCGTCTCCAGATATGGCCACAGAGAAATATCTGGAGCTGCGGACCAGAGGAACTTTGAGGGGAACCAAGTCAGAGAAGAGAATGGCTGCATTGCTGGGGGTCAAACGCACACAAGCAAACATCACAGGTGAGACGGTAGATTTAGTTGTCAGATTTCATGCTCAAGGTCACTCGGTTATGGCCAGACTAATGTAATTGGGACTTTGATCAAAACTATGTGGTATTTTTATATTACAATTCTAAAATGTATTTTTCTCTCTCTTTCAGACTTTTTCAGAGTGACAAAAAGAAGGTTTCCAGATCACAAAGCTTCATCAGGACAATAAATAGACATTGGACCTTTTTGTATAAATGTACAAACACTATCGGCACATGTAGCTCTTCTAACTGACCAGCAACGGCTTAATAGGATGTATATACTGTACATATGTGTATGTATATATTTCACTAAACGCAGTGCCTATTAAAGGTACCTATTTTATTGTTACAACATGGAATCATGAGATTTAAATACATGTAAAAACCTAAATGACTAATATTCAGATCTTATAGTGCATTTGAATAATTCGAAGCAATTCATTCCAGTAATTGAATGAGAATTCACTCTCTTGCCAAATCAACTAATACATTTTAAATTCATGACTAAATGAAAAAGACATTTTTTAAAAATATATTTTATTGTTCCATGTTGTTACTAAATAAGTTCTGAAAATGTTAGGAATGCACTATATAAATAGTGTGTTCCTTATTTTTTTGTTGTGCACTCAATATACAGTGTATATATACACAAACAATAACTGTGAACGTTTACAGAAATGCACTATAAAAAGACTGTTTGGTCATAAACTTAAGTGGCATCAGTGCACACGATCTATAAGCTAACAATCTCTTACCATTATTCTGTTCCACTTTTATTTATTTATTTTCCTGTTTTTATATATTACAAAAAAGGTCAACACTTTAGTTTGGGGACCATTTCTCACTATTAACTCGTTGCTTGTTAGCATGCATATTACTACCATATTGGCTGTTTATTAGTACTTATCACGCACATTATTAAGCACATTATGCCTTATTCTGCATGACCATATTTTAGATTCCTTAATCCTACCCAATACCTAAACTTCTACCTAAACAACTACCTTACTTGCTATTAATAAGCAGCAAATGAGGAGTTTGAGGCAAAAGTTATAGCTAATAGTTAGTTAATAGGGAGAATTGGTCCCCAAGCTAAAGTGTAACCCAAAAAAAAGGTATGTAACCTGAGCCATTAATGTTTTTCAAAAAGCATATAAATGTGGGAGTAAATGCGACTGTTATTATAGAGTTACTAGGAGACATAAGGTATGCTTTGATATCTTTGGAGTTATGTAAAACAAAAAAATGTTTAAAAATGTTTTTGAATGGATATTGCCCTTAAAATATTATTTGAGGAGTGTCCGACCAAGTTTCTTATGTGCATGAGGCTCCATCTTGCACACCTGGGGAAAATTGAATGATATGTTGAAAAGCTACCTTTTTATGTGTCTTAGGTTTGAATATTACTTGTAGTAATACTACAAGTATCAATTGCGAGGACATTTTCATAAATCATTTCTACAATACTTTTTTTTTATATATATATATTACTGTATTTTTGCTTTGTGCATCTGAGATATAATGTATGATTATGTGCTGAATTAGCCATACGTTTGAGATTTTTTGATATTAAAGAGGCAGCTGACGCAGTTAACCAAAGTAATTGCTCCACAATAAATAGAATGCTTTAAAGTAAAGTTTTCTTTTTAGCCTTAATCTCAGTTTTAAAATCATTCTAATGGTACACTGATTTCTAACAAAGCGATAAGCTTCTGTTTCTTTCCCCCATTCCCCTTAAACATCTGTTTGGGAGTATGTAATTGTCATGACCAGGTACGAAATTCCATGTAAAGGGCGGATTCCTAATCGGCAGCAGCAAGCGATATATTTAGGACGGCGAATTCCACTCACAAAGTCACAGAAATACACAAAACTACATACAGTTGCTTTAATTCCCTTTGAATAGTTAGGAACATCAAATTAAGCCAATAAACCAAACCCACATGCTGATAGTTAAACTGCCTAATTTGTTTAGTAGAATTCAAATGTAAGTTTCAGCTTCCTTAAGACAGATGAGTTTATTTTTATTTTGTTATTTTTTTTGCATTCATTGCAAACACACATGCTAGATATTTCTCATATGTTCAGTGACTTCCTCTTAAAGCAGTCCATTAAATTGTAAATCTTTAAAATATATTAATAGAAATATATTAGTGCTCTACCTCATCAAAAGACAAGGACCTTCATTTTATACACAATCACATATCTGAGAAAACAAAAACAAATGCTACATATTTGTTGTGTAGAAAAGTTGAAATATTTATCATGGATGCACTTTTAGTTGTTTTTGTTTTTTGAGAAGTACCGCAAAATAGCAAGGTTTACATGATATTGTGTGTGTACTTTGCTCCTGTTACTTTAAAAAACTCACGTTTGCCTTATGCTGTGCCATTCTTTTTGGGGAGAAGTATTTCTTTATATCACCAATTAAATATTGTATTATGCACTACATGTCATCATAATGATGACATTAGTGGCTTTTACCCCACAGCTTCTGTTGCAGCTATGTTCACCGTATTCTGTTCTTTGCATGGTATCTTGTGAATTAGTAGCCATGTATACTCCAACATGATTGAATGTTACTTGTTAAAACATGTTAATACTAGTGTTATTGTACAAAGCAATTTGATTTGGAAGTGTCTTTATTTGATTATAATAGAATATAGAATATAAATTAGTTTCGTATTTTTCATTAATTTTATAGTTTTCACAGCTGTGATCCCGCTGTCCCATTTATACTGTCTAGGAGTCACCAAACTCGGTCCTGGAGGGCTGGTATCCTGCAGAGTTTAGCTCCAACCCTAATTAAACACACCTAAACCAGCTAATCAAGCTCTTACTAGGGATGCTAGAAAGTTCCAGTCAGGTGTGTTGAGGCAAGTTGGAGCTAAACTCTGCAGGACACCGGCCCTCCAGGACCGAGTTTGGAGAGCCCTGGTCTTGGGTATACTTGAAACTTCCAGGCAGGTGTTTTGAGGCAAGTTGGAGCTAAACTCTGCAGGACACCGGCCCTCCAGGACCAAGTTTGGTGACTCCTGATCTATACAGTCCTATCAAAATAAAGGTTAAAAAATACCATAAATATAACTTTAAAAAACTTAAAATGTTGTACTTTGAATGATCAGTGATTTCAATAGAATTTTGCCAAATCACTCTTTCTGCAAAACCTTAAACTAGTTCAGACAGTTTAGACACGGTTTGCAGATCTCATGCACTCTTTTTTGCAAAACTTTAAACACATTCTCACTCACTAAAATGCAGTTTGCACTGTGATAAACTTGTGATGCAAACCCCTAAACACAAGAAAGAAAAAGTTAAGCACAACTGCAACACGGTTGTCATCATTTACACAATAATTGAAAACCGTTCACACTTGTTTTTACATATGTGAATGTACAAGCCAGTTCAAAGTGCACAGATGGCATGGGTGCATCCATCAATCTGAGAGGTATGGAAGAGTGTGTATACGAAGAGGAGGATGAGGAAGAGTAAAGCCCTATTCGCACGGGATTAGTATTATCTGGGGACCTTGTGTGATTTTGAAATTACCCCCCCCACATCTGAATTTCGTGTGGTGCTTTCGCACGGGATAAGCGAAGCCTGTGATTTTACTCGAATTTACTGACTTATCTCCCGGATACCCGGATGTCAAGGCTTTGAGAGTCCTGTTCTATGGTCCAGATGGATTTAAAAAAAAGAAACTAATATAGTTTCGTGCGCTGTGTTATTTATATTTCACCAGGTTAAAATAATATCTCAAGCTTTGTGCTTGATTTATTTGTAACACATTAACCTCAAAACCTTTTCAGCTTTCTCTTTCTGCAAATTGTATGGTGTAGCGATATGATGACAGCACCCAAAATACTATCAAACACTCCAGCGCAGCTCCATTCTTCGCGAATGATGGATAAAAAGGTGCACAGGAAACAAAAAACACGAAAAATGATATATGACCCGCCAAATGCTGGCCGAATCACAGAATATTATCACAGGACCTCGGTGTTCGGCGAAATATGGTAGGTCATTTGCGGGGGAATTTTTACTTTACAAATTGCAGACATGGCCGATTCGCACGGGATTAAGATCACAGACAACCTCGGAAATTATTACAAATGACTGGAGGTCACCAGGTAATACTAATCCCATGCGAATAGGGTTTAAGACCAATGAAGTTACTTCATTTTTTTACTTTTAATGAAAAAACATGTCTTTATGGTATTGTTTGTCAACTCTGTTACGGACAAATTAGCCAATGTGTAGAAATAACAATAAATCATAACAGGAAAAATCCTTCTTGTTTCTTTAGACAAACAGTCCTTACATTCCATCACTTGAGACTGAGATAATTTTTCACCTATGCATACCTTTAAAATTAAAAAAATACCTGTCTTCACAGAACCGTCCACTTGGAGCAAATATTTTTCATCTGAAAATGTATTATATACAATATCCAGTTAAAAAAATAAATGTTGTTGAAATATTATAAGGGTGCAAAAATAAATCAATAATGTTTATTAGGATTTTAAACAACAAATTTATTGTTTTTTGTGAAAATAGTTCATAAACAGAGTTGACCCTTTAAATATCAGAATTGTAAAGTGACAGAATTGACAATTGTCCGATGGACTGTCAATTCTGTTACAGCATTGTCAGCATTGTTACTCTACATTGGTAACAGAGTTTGACAGTAACAGAATTGACAATTTTTTGCCAAAAACTCCACTCGCTAGCATAAATGCTAAGAGCACATGGCACTAATGAAATCATGATTAAAAGACTTAAATAACACAAAGTGTGATCAATGAAAAAAAATCAGTTTTCCTTTTGATATTGTGGTAACAGATTTGACAGTTTATAAAATAACTCTTGGTGTAAGAACTTTTAGATTAAAATATTTTCTTAGAGAGAGCACATAGACTTTTCAGTGCTTCAGATCTTAACAGTGAGGGAAAGTGACATCATTTCCTGTATCTTACATAGTTGTGGGAGAAAATTCCACTAATTTAAAGGCAAAGTATGGTACGGTAACAGAGTTGACGCAAGATTTACGGACACACATTTTTATAAGAAAAAAGTTATTTAAAAAATATATAGAATAGTAGAATTAGGTAAATTACTCTTTAGGGCTTTTATAAATAAAATGAATGAAATATTACGAAATGAAAAGTACAATAAAATATTTTGATTACACAATGATACATGATGGAAAAAAATGCACTGACTAATTCGGACAACAAGAAATCATGATTTTCAGTTATTTAAGACACTTTTTGCAAAAAATATATTGTTATGAACTGTAACATCTTGTAATTCATAACAATGAGTAACACAGTATTAAAATAATTAAAAATATAACCATTTGAAAAAAGCTGAAAAAAATAATGATTTCGGACACCAAATGTACCTGCAATTATAGAATCACTCATATAGTAAAACATTTTTGTATATTCTCTAAGATATATGCATATATATCTATCTTAAACTTAGGTATGATTTCTTTTGTGTGTGTGTGTGTGTGGTTTTTATATTGCAAAATATTTACTAAATACAATAAACATTTTTTTTAACTACATGCACTGGATGTAGTGTCTAATGAATGATCTGTGGTGTGTATATTATTGACTAATGTGTTTATGATTGGAAAGCTTTGTTTGATTTTGAGTACAGGTGAAATGGTTTTGAAGCCATTGTTTGATTTTGCCAGAAGAGCCAGGGGTCCTGTGTATTTAGTTTGAAGGTTAGTTTGTGTATTAGTGTTTAAGCTTTTGAGAAAATGAGTGATGGTTTCAATAAATGTGTTTTAGCAATTCAGAAAAACTGTAATCAGTTAAAT